ATACATATGCCTAAACAAAATAAGATTAAAACCATTTTGACCCCCTTGGGTATTGAAATTAACAAGGGGTCCAAAGTCCAAACATATGGCATATTACCCAAAAACCTCTCCTACCGTCAATTTCTATTGGTAAATCTAACAGTTTTAAGGGCAAAAAGGTAAATTAGCTAATAACTAATGATTGATTGAGAAAGTTTCTTGGTAATGGAAGCGAATCTTCCAATGGAAGATTCAAGTCACCCCATCCGTGTCATGCTATAATAATATTAAAATATTACTTTAAAAAATATATATATATATAAAAGCAACACATTGTAGCGGGAGAATATAGTGAAGTTTATTCTATTCATTTAAATGATTTCTTATGCACATCTTCACGAATGCAGAATGGGTATTCTAGGTTGTCCTTGTTTTGTGTTGTAGAAGCTTTATTAAATAAAGGACTAATTAAATCTCACATTATCTTCTTGATTTTACAAAAAAAGAAAAAACTTTTAAAGTTTTTATTAAGGAATATATTCAATCACTAAAGTCATATTCAAGAGTATAAAACATAATATAATGTATAATATACTCCCTCCGTTTCAATATAAATAACGTTTTAAGTTTCTATATAACATTTAATGAAATAATTTTATCTCTTTCTAATTTGACTTTTTCCTCTAATTTTGTAAGTGGAAAAAACTTTGTTTTTCTCGCTACACATATAAGTAAATTATTTAAATAATTTAATATATATAAAGAGATGATGGGAAGAGATAGATAAAGAGAGAGGGAGAGTAGATGTGAGTCATGGAAAAAAGTGTAGAGAGGAGTTAAGGAACAAACTAGAGAATGACGATGTAGGTTACAGAAAAGACGATTTCATTTAATTTGAAAAAAATTTACACCCTCAAAATGATATTTATAAAAATACGGAGTATATAATATGCCTCAATTGGGATTAGGGTTCATAAATTATTTTATGAAATTAATTAGCTAAAAGGTTCGATAATAATTGAGAAATGATTTTGCTTATTATAATCTGATGACAAAACAATGTATTGGGATTCTTGCTTTGAGTTTTGACGATTTTAGTAATTTGGGTTTGCTTGCAACTTTTATTGGACTGCTCTTGGATTTGTGTTGGGCTCATCTAACAAACTTGGCCCAAACATATCTAAGGAGCCCAAAAGGAGAAAGAGGTTTACTAAATTAGCCCACAATATTATCCAACCAGTAACATTTATGTTCCCTTATCAAAAGAGTATTATTTAAACACCGTCGAAACTCTTTCTTCTAAGACATAAACCTAGTATTTTGTTCGTTTAACTCTGTCTAATATGTATGTCATGACTCATGAGGATGACAAAATTCTCCACAAAATCGGACGCTTGACTTGTTCGAATTGAGAATGTCGTTTTAAAATGTCGAGATAAGTATTAAAGACTTCTCTTGAAATTGATTCTAAGGTGAGAGTGAAAATTGAGATTTTGATCCAGCTGTCAATCTAAAACCCCTAAAACATATGAAGATTAAATAAATGAAACGCCCATAAACATATTGAAGGGGTGAATATATAATGAATAACTTTGAAAAAAAAAATTGAACAATCCATTTAATTCATGGTGGTCTAGGGAGGTTCTTGTTATATTTGAAAATCTCGTGGGAGTTTTGGTTCCTTAGAAAATATGAGGGGAGATGAAAAGTAAAAAAACGCATACCAAATTCAAACTCCAGTTTCTTTCCTCCACTGCAACCGCCGCCGCAGCCGACGGCACATAAGGCCAGCGCCAGCGCCAGCCTCAGCTGCTCCACTTCTTCTTCAATCTGGTTCGTCTTCCTCCAATCATTTTGAGCTCTTTCTTGTAAAGTTTCAAAGTTTCATGTGTTTGTTTCTAAATTATCTCAATCAAAGTACTACAGGAATAAGAATTTTCTTCAATTAGATAAAAAATTATTGTGCTTTGCTAAGAGAAACATGTATCTAGGTTATAAAGATGAACTGAAAATGAAGATAGAAAAAAAAAGTATAATATAGATCATATACATGGAGTATATTCAATCAAAGTATCAAGGTGAAATTTAAGAAAAAATAAATGTAATTCTTTTATTCTTTCATAATTAGGATTTCAATCATAAAGTTTCGATTTTTGAATCAATTTCAGTGCAGGACCGAAAATAATGCTTTTCATGAGGAAATCGAGGCATCATATAGGGGTTATAACTCCGCTCGGATTTCACAACTCCAAATTCAGGAGAGTTTGGAGTCGCGTAAGAATCTATGAGCCTGTTGGCTACTCTTTGAGGAAATTGCTGCATTCTTGCTTTATCAAAGACATGTTTTTCGTAGTGGAAGACCTTTAAAATCATCAAAGCAGAAGAGCCTGAAAAATTATTGTTTTTCTTTTATTTCAAAATTATGAGTTTTTTCATTCTAAAGACTAAAGTTTTGAATTAGTCAAGAGAATTCAAAAGTCAGATTTTTTTGTTTCCCTGTTATTTTTTATAGGTATAATAGGGAAACAAAAAAATATACAAACATCCTCTAATACGAACCTTTTAAAACTTGTTTATCAAACCGTGGTTAATGTCTTACTATTATTATCCATCATTGGATAGCTCAAGTGATAAGACGAGTATTGGAATGTGTGATTAAGACGCACAGTTTTAGATTTGTATCCTTGTGACTTCCAAAATTTAAACGGGTAATCATAACGGTGGAGTCACCTACAAGGATTAATTGAGGTGCACAAATTAGCCTATACACTTTGTTTCCAAAAGAAAAAAAATTTATCGTATAAATAGTTGTAAAATTGTATCTTTTACCATTTATTTGCATTAGTTTGCACTGTAAAAAATACAAGAATATATATCTACATTCCAGAAGTTATATATTTATATAGAATTTTGTGCATATAAAGAGTGAATTAATAATGTGGGCGTGTGGGTTGTTTTATTCCTAGGTAGGTGGATTCTCATGGCGACTATAAGACAATGGAGAAGGAGATAGAGTTTGCATGAATTATTCAATCTTTCTTTGTAGTTTTGTTTCACCATCTCTTTCACCAACCTTGACCCATCTATCTTATCACTCCATCTCTAGACTCTTTATATTTAAATTGTAAAAAGTGTCAATTGCACGTGAAAAGTGAATTCAATTGAGTTTTAATTATATGAAATCAAATTAATTATAATATTTATTACTTAAATTTCTTTGGTTTTAAGGCTGCCTTGGATTCTCTCCCTTGGCCTTGAAGCATCAAATCTTTGTTTTTTTTCCAATGAAAAAGTTGTAGTTAAAAACTAAATTACATGTCAAAATTTTGACCACCCTCTCTCACTTCCCTATATAGCCATGAACCATATCCATGCATCCATTCCATTAACTCAAAGATTAAGACTCTCATAGCAAAATATAAGATTATGATTTAAATATTTAAAAATATATATATATATATATATATATATATATATAAAACTCATATTTTGATTAATATATCCGTATTATTTAATTTTTAAATTTTTTAAGAGAATTCAAGTCATAACTATTAAATGTTGAATTGGTCTTACATTGTTAAATTGGTGAAATGTCACGGTGTATATATATATGTGATTGAGTTCTCTTGAGTTAGCTTTTGAAAATGAGTTTTATCTGAGTCTATTTATCACGGTATCAGAACCATTATGATACCCATTGATCAATGAAAAAATTGGATCAGATTTTGCTGTTTTTTCTTCTGTGATATCCGGATACGACATGAGTAAAAAAAAAAAAAAGATTGTCTACCTTAAAAAATGTCTTAACATTCCACCCAAATGAAACTAAAATTCAAATTGGATGCATAATAAAAGAGAATAAAAGAAAAGCCATTAAGCAATCATGAAGATGGAGATAATTATTGGATGCAAATTGGCTATAGAGCACAATCTTATGTTGACAAGACTTAAGATGAAAACTTTCATTTTCAATAATGCCTTCAAACATTATAAGACCACTAGATTAATATTATGCCTAGGAGAACTTAACAAATTCATGCATACATTCTTTAAAAAAATATATATATAAATGGGACTCATAATGTACATAATCCAAGCATATAATTGCTCAAAGTTAATTATTTTTATGAGTGGGAAATTAAATAAATTAATTAAGAGTCCCTTAATTGGTATGGTAATGATTTATTATTAATAATATTAATTATAATTTTTGAAGTACATTAAAGGATAATCAAATTATTTAGTGCAAAATCTAATTGGATTATACCCAAAAATTATATATATCTATCTATGTTACCTGACCCAATAAAGCACTAGCTTGCCTTGTTTCCATTCTTTAGAGAAATTAAATAAAGGACTAATTAAATTAAAGCACTTTATAGCCCAAGTTTTATTCAAAAGTTTGCTTTTTCAAGCTCAACTTTTCAAATCTCATATTATCTTCTTGATTTTACAAAAAAGAATAAACTTTTAAAGATTTTGTTAAGGAATATTTTCAATCACTAAAGGCATATTCAAGAGTATATTATATAATATAATGTATTATATATAATATGCCTCTATTGGGATTAGGATTTATAAATTATTTTTTAAAACTAATTAGCTAAAAGGTTTGATACTAATTGAGAAATGATTTTGCTTATTATAATTTGATGACCCTTTTCCACTAAACAATGTGTAGTGGGATTCTTGCTTTGAGTTTTGACAATTTTAGTGATTTGGGTAGGTTTGCTTGCAACTTTTATTGGACTGGTCTTGGATTTGTGTTGGGCTCATCTAACAAACTTAGGTCCAATTTACATAATGTAGCTTAGATAAACTTGGCCCCAATGCCTCTAAGAGCCAGCCCAAAAGGAAAAGAGGCTTACTAGATTAGCCCATAATGTTATCGAATTCATGGTGGTCTGCTCTAGGGAGCTTCCTGTAATATTTGAAAAATATCAGGGGAGCTATAGTACTTTAGAAAATATTAGGGGAGATTTAAAGTGCCATTTTAAGAGTTTTTTTAAACAAGCACGTACCAAAATTAAACTCAGTCCAGTTCCTTTCCTCCACTGCTGCCGCCGCCGCCGCCGACGGAACATAAGGCCAGCCTCAGCTGCTCCACTACTTCTTCAATCTGGTTCGTCTTCCTCTAATCATTTTGAACTCTTTTTTGTAAAGTTCAAAGTTTCATGTGTTTGTTTCGTAATTATCTCTATCAAAGTACTATAGGAATAAGAATTTTCTTCAATTAGATCGAAAATTAAAGTGCTTTGCTAAGAGAAATGTGTATCTAGGTTATAAAGATGAACTGAAAATGAAGATAGAAAAGAAGTATAATATAGGCCATATATATGGAGTATATTCAATCAAAGTATCAAGGTTAAATTTACGAAAAAATAAATGTAATTCTTTACATGAACTTCTGTTATTCTTTCATATTAGGATTTCAATCATAAAGTTTTTGATTTTTGAATCAATTTCAGTGCAGGACCGAAAATAATGCTTTTCATGAGGAAATTGAGGCATCATCTGTTTTCTTTACTTACTAATAGGGGTTATAACTCCATTCGGATTTCACACCTCCAAATTCCGGAGGGTTGGAGTCGCGTAAGAATCTATGAGCCTCTTGGCTACTCTTTGTGGTGCTCGAGTTTTAAAACTGGTGTCTTGGTAGACCTGAACAGATTCGCGTATGCAACTCGATTTTTTGCGAGTATGACTGGAACGATCTTGGTCCAGGCTCGAGACCCTGCAAAACTGAGTCTGGAAATAGAAAATGCGGTTGATGAGCGTAGATATGCTGATGTGTGGAAGTTCTTTGAACAACACATACAGATGGATGGGTTTCCTCGAAAAACTGTTGTGAACAAGGTTATAACAAGTTTTGCTGGAAGCCTTGACAATACATGGCTTGAGAAGGCTTATGGGGTGGTGGAACAAGCCTTTGAGGAAAGTAAACAGAATTTGTTTGAAAAGGAACCTTTGATTTATCTCTCTCTCGGTTTGTCTAAATGTGGTTTACCAGTTCCTGCATCAACTGTTTTGAGGAAGCTGGTAGCAACAGAACAATATCCTCCTGTGAGTGCCTGGTCTGCAATCTTGGCCCACATGTCGCTTACAGCTTCTGGAGCTTACCTTGCAGCTGAGTTGATTCTTGAGATAGGTTATTTATTCCAAGATGGGAGGGTAGACCCCCGTAAAAAGAGCAATGCACCTTTGATTGCTATGAAGCCTAATACTACTGCTTTCAATGTTGCTTTGGCTGGATGTCTCTTGTTTGAGACAACAAGAAAAGCAGAGCAGCTCCTTGATGTGATGCCTCGAATCAGTGTGAAAGCAGATGCAAACTTATTGATTATAATGGCACACATATACGAGAGAAATGGGCGAAGAGAAGAGCTAAGGAAGCTTCAAAGACACATAGATGAAGCTGTTCACCTAAGTGATATTCAGTTTCGACAGTTCTATAATTGTTTGCTTAGTTGCCATTTGAAGTTTGGGGATCTTAATTCTGCTTCCAAAATGGTTTTACAAATGATTCATAAAGCAAAGGAAGCACGGAATTCACTTGCTGCTGCTATACTATCATTTGATGCTGTTGGCAATAATAATAATAAGCCCGCTTCAGTGCAAATTTCTGGTGAAAATCTGAGTCATGGAATATCAGATGGTTTAGATAATAGTAGAATAATAGAAAACTCTATAGTTTCTTATGAAGATTTCACTAGAGACCGAAAGTTTACCAATCTTGATGCTGAAGCAAAGAGAATACTTCAAACTTTGTTAGCTAAGTTGCAGACACGGGTTGAATTGATTACAACTGAGCATGGTATTCTCCAACCAACTGAAAGAATTTATGTTAAATTGGTTAAGGCTTTTCTAGAAGCTGGCAAGACAAAGGATTTGGCTCATTTTCTTATTAAGGCAGAGAAAGAAGATTTACTTGTTTCCCATGATGATTTGGCATTGGATCATGTCATTAATTTATGTATATCACTTGGGTGGTTAGATCAGGCACATGATCTTCTTGATGAGATGCGTATGGCTGGGGTCAGAGCCAGTTCCTCTGTGTATGCTTCCCTCTTGAAAGCATATATTGAAGCAAATCGAGCAGGAGAAGTCACAGCACTTTTACGAGATGCTCGTAATGCTGGAGTGCAGCTAGATTCAAGCTGTTATGAAGCACTAATCCAATCCCGGGTTATTCAGGAAGATACCCAGGGAGCTTTCCATCTTTTCAAAGAGATGAAAGAGGCTAAAATCCCAAGAACTGGTCATCAAGAATTTGAGAGGTTGGTGAAAGGATGTGCAGAGAATCGTGAGGCAGGGATGATGGCAAAGCTCTTGCAAGAAATAAAGGAAGGGCAGAGAAATGACTGTGGTGTTCATGACTGGAATAATGTTATCCATTTCTTCTGTAAAAAGAGGTTGATGCAAGATGCTGAGAAGGCTTTGAAGAAGATGAGAAGTCTGGGCCATCTCCCAAATGCACAAACTTTCCATTCTATGGTCACTGGGTATGCTGCTATTGGGGGGAAATATACTGAGGTAACGGAGTTGTGGGGTGAAATGAAATCTTTTGCTTCTTCCACCTCAATGAAGTTTGATCAAGAACTCTTGGATGCTGTACTTTATACATTTGTGAGGGGTGGATTTTTTGTTCGAGCAAATGAAGTTGTGGATATGATGGAGAAAGGGAATATGTTTATTGACAAATACAAATATCGAACCCTCTTCTTGAAGTACCACAAAACACTATATAAGGGCAAGGCTCCCAAATTCCAGACAGAATCCCAACTTCAAAAGAGAGAAGCAGGATTGACCTTTAAGAAGTGGGTAGGCTTGTATTGATGAAACTTTTTGAGCTTCAACATGTTTTCAAAAGATATGACTCATCGAGACTTCAAAGTTGTAGAAGCTCTCAAGAGAAATAAATTGTTCACTGACAAAGCTGTAAGTTGCTACCTTCAAAACTATTTGCTGCATTCTTGCTTTATCAAAGACATGTTTTTTCGTAGCCTAAGACCTTTAAAATCATCAAAGGAGCAGAGGCTTAAAAAATATTCTTTTTCTTTTATTTCAAAATTATGAGTTTTTTCATTCTAAAATGAGATATTTTTGTTTACCTATTATTTTTTCTAGGCATAGAAATAATTTAAATGAAATCAAAGCAGTGGCGAGAGAGTTGAAGATAGTGCTAAAAAGAGAAATCTGAAATCAATGAAGAAGATAACGCATTGCTCTCAAATTTGAAATATGCAAGGAGTGGGAGCAACAGGAGCAGGGACATGTTTCTAGACCCTGAGAAGCATTTGAGCAGGGTTTGGTCTAGGGATAGAGAAGCTCCGGCTTGAAAGAAGAGTAGGAGACTGATTTGCATAAACTGGATCGAAAGTGAAATAGCTAATTTGACATATGTTGCTGTAAACCGTGGCACAGATGATGACCAAGATTATTCTGGTAATTTTGTGACATGCTTTTTTATTCTTTTTAAACTAGCAAAGCTTGCATTTGAGTAATTTCTGATCATGAATGATATGTGATTTTGTGGAATTTATTAGGCTTGGTTATCTGGTTGCTGAATTGTCCATTTTCTAACTTGAGGCAGATAAGTCCCATTGATAAAAACAATTTAGAGTAGCGATTCTGTGTCCAATTATCTTATTTGTTTCTTGTTCCAGTCTTTTGATGAGTTTTTTATTGTTTATTTTACTCAAGACAATCATAATGTTCTTGTTTAATGTTGTTTTGAATTCAGTGTTCCAATTGTTTGTTACAATTTGTTCGAGCTTGGCTAATATTTTATCCGCAGTTGTGCGCAGGTTTCATCTGTTTATCAGTAGTACATAAACTGAAACTAAATGCAGTTGCATATATTATGTGTTTACTCTGCGATGATTTAAGCCGTGGTTCACATTCCTTACTCGTGGCACATGATTTTTGTTCTCATACATTTGCAGATCAAAGGATTCATGAAGCAGCTTATTGCTGCCCTTGGCGGATGGACCTTTGGATAAGGACATCACAAATTGCCGTAGCACATGGACAAATACTTGAAGGTGCGGTTCTATTTGAAAGCCTACTCCTTCCAATGTATAGAGCCATAACATTCAACTTCTGCAATCATCTTCATTTCATGAAATTCTGGAATTTTAGGTTCCAAAATTGGTCTATTGCATTACATAGTACATGGTTTGAGATTTTTACGTTGTCACAACAATAAGATGGAAAAATCTTCAATCCCCTCCAAGTTCCAACAATGCGTGGGCTTTGGTTTCACGGGTAATAAAGTATCTATATCATAAGCTTATAATTTTGAAATTATAACAATAACGTAATTGTGAAGGTATCAGTGATTGTTGGAGTAGTATAGATCTATAGAGCCAGGTGACAATAACAATAATTTTATGTTCCAAAAAGGTACAGTTTCGGAAGCAGACAAAACGACAGTGTTTTATCACGTTTTTATTTCTTTGTTTCAATTATTTATTTACTTATCATTATTATTATTATTATAAAGATGATCCGAACCCTTTTTTCTTAATTAATTTTAATTAGGATGAGAATTTTAAGTAAAGATATTTTTATTTTCATATAAATAATATTTTTATGTTTTTAAATTTATAAAATAAGAAAGAAAAAAGGAAAATATATTCAATTGTGCAAGATGGTTGGTGGGAATAATAAATAAGTGGGCTAAAATTAATAATTACAAAGAAAAAGGAAACACAAAATAAATAATTTTTTAAATGAATAAAATATCTACCATAAATCGTGAACAATTGGAATTGATCACCCTAATTGTTTATGTGGATTAAAATTTTCAAAAACTAGTGTAAGGTTTAAGAAATTTGAGGAGTTTAGAGTGGAATATTAATGTTAAAAAAAAACTGTTATAATAAACCCAAGCGCGACACACAAAAAAGACAAAAAAACACATATATTTGCCTCTAATAAACTATAAATAAATGTTAAATTGTTGATAAAATTTGTGGGAATGGTAAGAGAATTGATGTTAGATTGAGAATGATATATTGTAGTATCAAAATAGATATCTCATTTATGGAAGAAACAGTTGTCAGAATGTATATAGCGATTGGGATAAGCATATCTTGTTAATTAGATTCTGTTGCTTTCAATTCCAACAAAATTACTTCAAAATTTTGTGCATGTTTTCAGTTTTCCTGTTTCTTCTTCTATTATTATTTTTGCTCTATGAGAACTATTGACTCCCATCTCATTATATATCTTGTTTTTTGTTACTAGGGAGCCTAACCATAGGATTTTGGTTTTGAGAATCAGATAGCATGTGTTGATCCCTCGCTGGCTCAATGTAATGGAAGAAGTTGGAAAAAAGAAGGTTGTTGATGGCCTTCATCGAGAAATCAACCAACCCCCTCCACCCCCCCCGGGGCCCCCCCCCCCGGGAAAAAAGAGAAGCTTGCCAACTATTTAACTGCTACTATAGGCTGTTGAGTTGTCGATACTTCAGCATTATGGGTAACGGAGACGCACTCGGGGGTCCCGTGTGTGGTCAGCGGGCGGGTGCCCCGCTCCCCGGTGAGGGGGCGGGGGTCGCGGGGGCAGCGCCCTCGAGCCCTTAGGCGTTTTGGGCTGTTTCATGTATAACCGCTGTAGGATTTCTTTTAAGTTACTAATTCCTTTTTGGGTTGGGCCTAGGAATAAGAGTCCTTGTAAAACTAGGTTTAATCTCTTAACCTAGTATATATCAACTTTTCTCTTGTTTATGGTGTGAGAGCAATTCATTCATTGTAAACGAGAGATGAGACATATTCAATAATATTGACTCAGCTAAAGGTGGAAAAAATGGGCGGGTTAGCGGGCTAACCCTAACCCGCCCGTAAAAAGAGGGCTCAAACCGGCCCGCCTTAATGGCGGGCCGGTTGAGCCTAACCCGCCAACAACCCTCGGCGGGCGGGCCGGTTACACATGGTAACCCGGCGGCCCGCCGGGTTGCTAATTTGTCCTCTTTGCAAGAGCCCCAACCCGGCGGGTTGCTGGCGGTTGGCCCAAAAAAAAAATAAAAAATTGTAAATATTTTTTATTTTTTTCAATTACACTTTTACCCTTGAAATCTAGCCGTTTTATAGCCGTTGGAGGGGCTTTTTCGTCATTTTCTTTCCCTATTTTTTTCTATAAATTGGACCTAAACTCTCATATTTTTCTCACAACTCAAATTCTCATTCTATTCTCTATTCTCTATTCTAATCTCTATTCTCTCAACTCTCAAGTCCATTTTTCATTTATTCTCTTAATATTTTTTTTATCAATTTGCTCTTATTTAATTTTTATTAGGTTTTGCAATTTTCAATTCATATTTCCAATTTCCATATTCCAAATCTCTTTCTTTAATTTTTATTTCTTCTACATCATTTTTTTTTTCAACTACTCTACAATGGATAGATATTCTCTCCCCTCAATCAATGAGGAAGAAAACTATATCCTAGTCCTAGTCTCGCTGATTTTACTATGAATGCAGGGATTCAAATAGTCCCGCTGCCCAATCCCAGTCTCAGAATCCGATACACCTCAAAATATGCCGTCGATTCCAACAGCGCCCGGTGGTTCTAGAAGTCGTCCTCTGAATCGTCGTCCTCGTCCAACTCATCTCAAGCTGACGGGATCATCAACTGCCGTCGAAAGCGAAACACACACATCAGACGTTTGGGCGCATTTCGACAAGTTTTACGAGACAGAAAATGGCGTTCAAGTCAAGAAGCAAGATGCAAATATGTGCAAATGTTTATAAAGCTGATTCAGTAATGGTACTAGTACTTTAAAAGGCATGCTAATAAACATATAATCAACATGGAAATAGAGAAAGCAATCAAACTCAATAACTAATATGTACTACTTGGCGTTATAATTCTGATGTATATAAGGAACTTAGCTATATATGGCTGCATCTAGTCAACCTTTAATATGGCAGAAGATAAATATTTTGAAAGATTTGTTCAAAATCTTTTTTTCCAGGATTTAAAAGTTATTCTAAAACTGCAACTAGAAATGATTTAATAAATTGTTTAAAAAAATGAAATTAGAATTAAAAAATAAATTTCAACTTGTCATATTAGTGTGGCTTTAACTGCTGATATTTGGAGTGGTAGAGCTAAACAAGATTATATTTGTGTGACTAGTCATTATTTGATAATGAATTTAAATTAAATAAATCTTTATTAGGATTTAGATTAATGGATGTGGATCATAGTGGTTTAGAAATCTTAATAAAATTATTGAAGTTTTAGAAGATTATATATTATTGATAAAGTGATAAGTTTAACTTTAGATAACGCAATTTTCTAATAGTAAAGCTATAGAATTTTTTCAAAATATATCTTTTATATAATTTGAAGTTTTTTCACCAACGTTGTGCATGTCATGTTATTTTTAATTATGAAAAGTGGTATGAAAACAATTAAAAAAAATATTGATAGAATTAGGGAATCTTTAGCTTGGATTACTAGTAGTAATAAAAGAATGTTAATTTCAAGAACTTGTATAAAATCAATATGTCTCCTGAACTTTTGCATTAGATTGCCTTTAGATGGAATAGTACTTATTTAATGCTTATTCATGTTTACCTTATGCTAATATATTAGTTATTTGTAGCAAATAATAGAGGTCCTCATCATTTGGTAGAAAATATTGGAAGATAGCTAAAGTATTTCATTCTTTTCTCAAATGTTTTTACCAAGCCACTTACAACTTTCTGGTGTGTATTATCCTACTAGCCTTGGTATCATGCAATTATAAAAATTTCCGAGTTTTTACAAAAAACAAGATGATGAAATTTTACATCACCATAAAGGCAATGGAAATTTTTTTTTTGAAATATTGGAGACCCTTCCTTTTCTTTATTGTTTAGGTGCTATTTTGATCCAGAATTAAATTAGCACGTTTAGAAAATGGTCTTGACAATTTAAGTGAAATTACAAAACGAATCATATCATCAATAGGAGAGGTAAAAAATAGTCTTTTCGAAGTATTTCCAATATGAAAACAGGTATGGGAACCCGCAGTCGCAAAGAGGCGAAATATCCAGAGAAGCTGAGCAGAAGAACAAATGAAGACTTATTCTCTTGGAATGTACTGAATAGCCGAAGAGGACCCGAGTCCGAAGCACAGCCTCCTCTTCAGACGCACCACACCCACCAACAACAACCTAATATGCTGTCCTCCATGGAGTCGCAGAGTAATGACTTCAACAATATTTGGCACCCCCAAATGTTTTCAACAGGTCACTTTGATCTCTTAGAGTATTGGAGAGCCAGAAAATGTATTTTTCCGGTATATCAAGACTTGCCTTGGATGTTTTCGCTGTTCCTGTCTCAACCGTCTCATCCGAAAACATTTAGTGCAAGTGGGATTTAAATGAAATGAGGACTAACTTGCTCCAAAAATGATTGAGTCCCACTGTCTTTGAGATTGGGAACGATCGCGCCATCAGATCAATACGAGGTTATCGACAATGCTTTAGTAGAATCATTTCAATTTTGTAATATAGATGATACAAAGGAGGGAGGTCCTAGAACCACCCCCAATTTAGTTGTTTTGTAAAATGTAATTTGTATAATTGTCAATTATTGCACTCTTTTTTCTTTACCAAGTTTTTCTCTCATTGGGTTTTTTTGGGAGGTTTTAACGAGGCATAATTGTTGTAATTTCTTATTTTATTTTTTGATAAATGAATAAGTCTAATTTTTCTTATATTACAATTTTATTGTTAAATTGAATTATATTTGAAATGTTAACAAAAAAAAACAATTGAATTGAATTGAATTATTGATATTTGAAAAGTTAACTAAAAACAATTATATTTATAATTATTTATTTGAAAAGATAAATTAAAAAAACAAAAAAAAAAAAAAATCGGGCTAACCCGGCGGGTTAGGGCTGGCGGGCCGGGCTGGGCCAGCCACTTTCCCTAAATTGGCGGGCCTAACCCGGCCCGCCTTTGTTGGCGGGCGGGTTGAGCCCAGCCCGCCAAAACATGTAACCTGCCGCGGGCCGGGTCGGGCCGGGCCGAGCGGGTTACTTTTCCACCTTTAGACTCAGCTAGACGTAGCCCACATTGAGTGAACCAGGGTAAATCGCGCGTATTATTTTTTCTTTATTTACTGTTTGATTTGTTTTACTATTATATTTTGTTCCTGTTGTTGTCTCTATTTCGTTCATAGGCTACATGCGCTCCTTGCAGCCAACAAGTAATGTGTTGAACTTTGCGCTTTAGCTTATGGTTTTAGTGGTTTGTTTCATTGCCTGAATCCTCTCATAAAGAGAGGATAGCTTCTTCATCGACTGTCCGTTTCATGGTTTGTTACTATCGTTTGTAGAGGCTAATACATGAGTAGGCCTTACATTGGCCTTAAGCAGAAACATTTAACTCATAAACCCAAATATTCTTGTCCCAAATCAAGTTTAATATTCGACTGATAGGAGAAGTCACAAATGCCGATGGTCAACGGCGAACGAATTTTTTATTCCTTGATGCTCACTTTTTGAGGATTTATGTTTAGTGGTGTCGGTAGGTTGATACCAACTCCAGCACTGAACAAATTTTTTATTCCTTGATGCCGACTTTTTGATGATTTATGTTAGCAGTATCGCTAGATTTGAGATTCTCATACCAACTCCAAGACTGGAACGAATTTTTTTATTCCTTGGATGCTGACTTTTCGATGTTTTATGATGGTTTTTTAAGGTTTTATGTTAGCGGTATAGCTAGGATAGGTGCATACTAAGCATCCATTAATTCTCACCTATTTCAATTATCTTTAACTACCTTATTCTCCCTCTCTTCGTTTCTTTTGAGAGAAAATGGCAGAATCTATTCTATTTGACATTGCGACTGAAGTTCTGACGAAGATAGGCTCTCTTGTGGGTTGGGAAGTGTCTTTGTTGTGGAATCTTGAAAGTGATTTAAAAAGCCTTGAGGGAACCCTGAGCACTATCAAAGCCGTGCTCTCGGATGCTGAGAAAAAGCAGGCACAAAATGATCAGCTACGTGAGTGGCTTGGGAAGCTTAAAGATGTTTTCCTTGATGCCGAGGACGTTTTAGAAGAATTCGAGCTTCAAGCTTCCGGGAGGGAAGTGGAGAGACAAAAGAGGAGCACATTAAGAAAGGTATGTCAATGCTTTTCAAGCTCTAACCCTGTTGGTTCTCGATATGAAATTAGTCATAAAATCAAGGAGATTAGAGAAAGGCTAGATCAGATCGCAAGTGATAGGAGTAGATTTTCTCTTATTGAGAGTACTCCTGCTGAAGTTAGGCATGTAATTCCAAAGGTGAGGGAGACTGATCCCTTCTTGGGAGGTTCTTGTGTGATTGGAAGAAAGGATGATAAAAAAAAGATCATGAGGTTTTTATTTCAACCAACCAACATTAATGTCTCTGTCCTTCCAATAGTTGGAATCGGGGGTTTAGGTAAAACCACTCTTACTAAAATGGTTTATAATGAAGAAAGAGTAAATAAGTTATTTCCATTAAAGATGTGGACATGCGTGTCAGATGATTTCGATATCACCAGATTGATGAAACAAATTATTTATTCTGCAACAGGTGAGGATTGTAATAAGTTAAAAGGAGATAAAATTCCTAAGCGTTTGCAAGAAATTTTGACAAGTAAAAAGTTTTTGCTTGTCTTGGATGATGTTTGGAATGAGAAGCCGATGAAATGGTTGGAACTGAAAGACTTACTTGTTAATGGTGTGAATGGAAGTAAAATTATTGTGAGCACGCAAAGTAAAAGAGTTGCAGAAATAATGAGCACTGTTCCCTCTCATTTCATACAAGGTCTTTCCGAAGAGGAGTCCTTGTCATTATTTAAGAAGTACGCATTTAAAGATGGACAAGGGAAAGATTTTCCAAGGCTCATTGAAATTGGGATGGACATTGTAAAAAAATGTAAAAGAGTTCCATTGACTGTGAGATCCTTAGGGAGCTTACTTTATGCAAACACAGACGAACGTGAGTGGTTGAAAATAAAATATAATGACATCTGGCAGGTGGATCAAGATAATGAAGACATCTTACCTGTATTGGAATTGAGCTATAATCATTGTCATCTCCTTTGAAGCGATGTTTTACTTATCTTTGCTTGTTTCCAAAGGATTATATTTATTACAATAATGACGTGGCCCAATATTGGATGGCACTTGGACTTCTTAAAACCAATGATAAAACTGAAGAGCTAGAAAATATTGCTGATCAATATATGCAAGTTTTATGGTCAATGGGTTTCTTAGTGGACTTCTTGGATCATGGTATTTATTGGACATTTAAGGTGCATGATCTTATGAATGAGCTTGCAATATCAATGACAGAAGGTGAGTCCGCATTCATAAATTTTGGAAGCCAAAAAGTTGATGGAAAATTGCGGCATTTTTCACACGGTGACACAGAGTTATGTGGTGAAGAATTTCTACAACTCATTGTTGATAACTCAAGGAGTGTTCGAAGCATTGTCTTTCCAGCGGCAGAGAAATACAGAGATGCACCTATTATTGGATCATTTATTAGTAAATATATATCCAAATTCAAGTACCTTTGACTACTACACTTGTGTGATATACATGTCCAAGTGTTGCCAGATTCTATCAGTACATTGAGACATCTGAGGTACCTTGATCTAGCTTGGAATGATGCATTGAAGAAGATCCCTGAATCTATTTGCGAGATTCAAAAATTGCAAATGTTAAGACTTCGGGGTTGTTCTGAGATTAAGAAGTTGCCTAATAACATACGAAAGATGATCTGCCTTAGACACTTGGAAATAACCACACAAGAGGAGGTTCTCCCAGAAAATGGAATTGGATGTCTGAGTTCCCTTCAATTTTTGCACGTAGTTGGCTGCAAAAGTCTACTAAGTTTGTGTGAAGGGATGCAAGGTCTAAAAAGTCTTCGAAAGTTGTTTCTACACAGCAATCATGTGATCTCGTCGTTACCAGATACTATCAAATACCTGAAAAAATTAGAGACGTTAGCGATTGGGAATTGCCCCAAGATTAATTTGAAGATGGAATTGCTAGGAGAAGATCGTGAGCTGAGGCTGAGTCTTAAAAAATTCATAATTGTTAATTTAGAATCATTGGTGGATATGCCCCAACTTCTTCTTCAAGCATCTGCTGACACTCTGAAGTACATGCAGATTGAAGGCTGTGAAAAGTTAGAAGCACTACCGGAGTGGTTGCAAAATCTCACATCACTTGAAAAACTTGAGATTACAAGATGTTACAAATTATCATCTCTTCCAGAAGGGATAGAACACCTTACTTCCCTCAAGGAATTGAAGATTACAGAGTGTCCTGCTCTGATTGAAAGCTGCAGAAATGATGAGTTGAAGATTGCTCATGTTCCAGTGGTTCATCTTATTGATCATGATACCGACTTCTATGGTTAATGCTGGTTTGTTTTCATGAGTGGTGTGTTGCTTCTTTGTTATTTTTCATCTGTTTTGTTTTCATGAGTGGTGTGTTGCTCCTTTGTTATTTTTCATCGTGATTCCTGCAAGCTTCCAGCATCAAGGTTCACATTAGTCCCAACTTTCAGCTTTCAATTTGGTTGTGTTTTATTGTTTGTTATGCATGGATGTTTTATATTAAGTGTATGTTTTTGTGCTTTTATTAATAAATTTCAATTTAAAAAATTATTATTATTATGATTTTTGTTCATATTTCTATTCTCATAATTATAATTAAATTATTTTAAGATGCTTTATACAGTTAATTCACTTCCAAATTTTCTAGTGTTGTTATTTAGCGATGGCTAATTTTATTAATTCAATTGTGAGAGGGGACAAAATGAATTATAATGTAGAACATCAAATTTGTAATATAATATCTCTCTGGTACAAATCTTTTTATATTTGCATGTTGTACCCAAGAGTTTTACTAAATTCACGAATGATGTCTTTATATAATATGAATTTTGATTTGGTACATGTCAACAAAATTGTAGCTTTACAGTTACAGCTCTCTCTCTCTCTCTCTCTCTCTCTCTCTATATATATATATATATATATATTCACATTTTTTCTCCTCAAATGATCTTTTTTTCTTTTTTCTCTATAATTTTTTCGTTTCTTCTCACTGCAATAAACTTGCAGGAATAATAGCAACACCTATAAAATTCACAATAAGGTTAAATGACATTTAGAATAAATGGCATCCATAATAATAATAGTGATGATGATGATGATGATGATGATGATAATTATTATTATGATAAAGATGATCTGATAATTTTAATTCTTTTTTTTCTTCATTAATTTTTAACTAGGATAAGAATTTTAAGTTTGTATGTGAGAAGTATCAAAATTAAATGAACCCAAATTATATTTTTTATGTATTTCTTTATTTGAATGTAAGATTCGAGTTGATCTTAAGTAAATATTATCGGTCTTAGATCCAATCAAAGTATATTCGTTTTTTGTGCTTCAAATTCATTGGAGGGATGGAAAAGATTATTTTCTTTCTTTATTTTTATTTTCAATATAAATAATATTTTTATATTTTAAATTTATAAAATAAGAAAGAAAAAAGGAAATTTATTCAATTGTAAGAGGGGGAATAAATAAAGTGGGCTAATATTAATAATTAAAAAGAAAAAGTAAATACTAAAAATAAATATTTTTTTAATTATAAGGTAAAGAGCAGTTAAATATAATAATTAAATATATATAAAAATTTTAAATGTATAAAATATAACCATTTATTGTGAACAATTGGTCCACCTAATTGTTTAAATAGTTATGGAATTAAAACAAATAACAATTTATATTTTTGTACGTTGGATGTATGTATTTTCGATCAATCATAAAGTATCTACATATTATATTTGTACTTTCGATCGATCACAATATATTTACAAATCATGTAACCTGACGTAGTATTTTCTCCATATCTTTTGTATGTGTATGTGTATGTGTATGCAATCAATCAGGAGACATGCGTAGATCACAGATATTGACGTTACAAATACTTATTGGTTGAATATACATGCACTGTGGCTGTCGATGTGTACAAAAACTCATTTTTTTTTAGTGCAACCAAGTTCAAATGATTGATAAAGAACCAAATAATGTTATCTAACGTATAGTCCCATATGATCTAATGGCTGCGATTAGTACACTTGCTTTAATAGGATTTCTAAAACCATATTCTAAATAGATTTTAGGACATGATTTTAAAAATGTGTTTGGTACATTATAAGAAAACATTTTCTAAAAATATTTAGATTATTCCTTACAATAAAAGCTTATAAATTAACAAAAACACCCTCATACACCCAACCGATTGCCGGAAGTCGGCCAACACCACTAGACAGTGGCCGTCAGTCACCGAAATAGCGCCCAACCGGCTGGATCTGGCCGATCGTGCGTCGATCTTGCCTTTTTCGATTATATCCACTGTGCATATAATCAGACAAGGCTAGATTTACGATCAGATTTCTAGTCGCTATCAACTACCAGATAGATCTGGTTGAAAAAGGAAAGATCGATGCACGATCAATCAGATCCAGCTAGTCGTGCGTCATTTCGACGTCGGCTGTCAGAGGTGGCAACGGCAACAGTGGCTTCTGGCAGGTAATAGTGGCTTGGTTGGATGGGGGTGTTTTTGTTAATTTATAAACTTTTATTATGAAAGGTAATTGTTAAATGTTTTGAGTTGAATAGAATATAATTGAATTTTAAATTGAATTGAATAGTCAATGTTAAACAAACATGTTTTTCACTGGATTAGACTAGATAGTAGAATAAAATATAGTATGAAAAGTGTATCGGGGGAGGGGGGAATAATTTTGTTGCAAAACATCCAGTTCAGAAGTAGGGGTAGAAATACCTAAACTTGAATCAAACCAGTTTTCGAACCAGTTAACTCAAATGGGCTGGATAATTCAGCCCAATTCAATCAAACCCACCACTTTGGCCCAATTTCTTTTTTTTTTTTTTTTGACAGGTTTATTCAAATGGGCCTCTTGCTCACATGCTACTATTGTGTGTTCTCAAGTGAAGATTCACAGAGGGCTAGTGATGATGGTCGACGGTGACTAGAACAACAGCAGACGACAACTGTACCTGAAATGAATTGAAAATGGGTTTAGGTTTTTAGCAAAAGAGAAAGGGTTTCAGAGAGAAATGAGAATTGAATGAATTGATGACTAGAAAGATGGCAGCAGTGAATTGAGATAGATGTACCGGTGATTGGAAAGATGGTAGTAGCAGCTAGCAATGAACTGAGACCTCTGAGACAAAATGCAAAGATGGGAAAGGGTTAGACAATGTCAAGCGAAGGTTCATGCCTAACAAAGGTTGAGCGACGACGATCGATGACTCGATGATGACTAGAAATCCAACGGTGGCAACTGGTAGTGAACTTAGATGAAAATGGGAGAAGGCGACTGGCTAGACAATGTGAAGGGAAGGTTCAGTGGTTCCCAGAGGTTGAGCGACGACGGTCCATGGTGACTAGAAAGATGGGTGACGGTAGGCTGCAACTGGCAATGAGATTGGTCGACAGTGGCACAAAAGATGTTTTGTGTTAAGTCTGGATGGAAAATGCACATAAGTGAAGACTAAACCTAGGATAATTTTTTTTTAAATTGAAAAATAATAAAATGTAAATTTTTTTTTATTCATTAAACCGGTTCAAAAATTCAATTCCGGTTAATAGTTTTATTTATTTCAGAAAACCGAAACCAAACAGAATATTTGGTTTACAAAATATGGCAAACCGAAATTGAACAGAAACTAGAAAAAAAAAAACCAAATATTCGGACCGGTTTCCGGTTTTGTTTTTTCCACCCCTAAATAATTAGAAGTGGACAAAACGACATCATTTACCATGTGTTGCAGTACTGCAGTAGTACTAATATTTGTAGTTTCAATGGAAGCAAGACATGTTTCATTTCTAATTTCCCATGATTTTGGTCCTCGACGTTAGTCAAAAGTCACTTTTGACCTTCGATATTTTTATTTCTGATTTTATATATAAGTAATTAAACAATTAAATAATTTATACTTAAATTTCCTTTTAAATGGTTTAATTTTCAAATCCAAAATTTATAAAACCCATGAAACTTTGTGTAGACGTAAAAATCCACTTGTACGGAAGGGGGTTTGATCCCATGAGGTTGAGGCCACCAGCGATCCGCTGCACTTGCACACGTAGAGAAACAAATACGTAAAGCGAACGGAAAACACTGGGGTTGTGTTTATCGTAGGCACTTCAACGCTCAAGTCAGCAAGGCTAAAAGAGGCTAGTATAGTGAGGGCTAGGGAGCAGAGACGTTATCGGAAGTCTAATTGGGGACTGTGACTACGGTGATGATGTGAAGCTCTCAAGTAGAAGCTTCAGGTGTGAAGGTGTAATGTAATCTAATCCTCCTTGTGAGAGGGCTGACCTCTACTTATATAGTGACTGTCTGGTCTCCTAGTCCTGGTGGGAGTAGGAGTCCTAGTGTGACTTTGATACAAACCCTAGAGGAATTAGGGCGGTGGTGAGCTGTCTTACCAGTGTTCGAATAGGAAGGTGATCCCAAATAGGAAAGTAACATCGAGTAGGAAAGTGACCTGAACAGGAAGGTGACCTTGAATAGGAGACTGATCTGGAATAGGAAAGTGATCTGTGGGTGTCTTGGGCTCTGGACTTGCTCATAGGTCCAGGAAGTGAACTAGGATTTGGAGGCCCAGACCCGATGGTTTGGGCCGACTGTATCTCGTATCAAATGGGCCTAATCCGGATAAGGCCGCATCGAGATTGGGCCGGGTCTCTTCCTCATTCAGTCCCGTTCTCCTATTAGGGCCAAGGACGATTTTTGGCCCTAACAGTTTGCCTTCCACTCTCTGAGTTAAGTTTTTCTTAAGTTAGAGAGTAAGAAGCAATCGAGGCGCACTCGGTCTCCCTTCTTGGACAGCCGATTGTTGGCGTAGCTGACCATTTTGATATAGATGATTCGTAGTCAAGGGTCGCTCAGTATCAAAGCTGATCCGGAATGTGCAATCACCCCAAGAAGGTATGCCCGATCGGTGTGAAGGGTCGAAGGGACTGAGATAACGAGACTTTTGGGGCTCACATGCTCATTCGGTGTGTCCTACCGACTAGAGAAGTGAACTAAAATCCCATGACAAGGGTATCCGCTCAGCATGCAGAGTCGAATGAGTTGGAGACGATGTTAAATTAAAGGTTCGTTCGATTGGGGTACTCGGGTGATCGATTGGGATAGAATCAACTCAGCCGGCTTGTTGGACCGTAAGACTTGCGCTTGTGATTCCACGACGCTCTTTACTGGATGCCAAAGGGCCAAATAAAATACGCAAACGTTTGACCCATGGCTACCCATTCGTTCGCTATGGAAGACCGAATGGGCGAGGCCCCTTGGCTTGATCGCCTCGAGAGTAAA